ACGTGTAGGGAAGCATATGCATAAGTTACATGCAGAAGCCATGTCATTTTACATAAGGGACTTAAGCACCTGCAGATTTTGGTGCCCACATGGAGTTCAGGAACAAAACCCCCACGGATACTGAGTGACCACTGGATATGTAGTTTCAGTATGAGATGATGTACAATATATGGCAAAATGGATCTGTTTTCTTTTCCTCTTCTCTCTCCCTCTTAGGTCTTGGCATAGTACAGTGAAGCATCAAAAAAAACCTAAGGTCAATAAACTAGAACTGAGTTCAACTACAGTGCAAACTTTAAAAGTCAACTAGATTATTTGTTTTGCAACAGTCCATCTCAGCTCCAGGAGCTGGTCCTCTTTTATTTTGAAAAACTGTGGGAGCCTTGTGATTTAAACAAATATTTTCATTAAGATTAATTTAGTATTCTATGATTACAGGCAGTATAATACTTAAGGATATTTTTTCTGATATTTTACTAGTAGAGCTGGGTCTTTCTTGCTTACTTAAACTTCCACAGATGTGCTAAACACCACTTCCACTAATGTTACTTGGCAAGAATTCCATTTCAAGAATCCACTTAGCTGTGGGATGCCATGAAATGAATCCTGTTCATGTGTTCAATAAGAGAGAAAGGACAATTTTTCTGGACTGCTGGCAGCCTACATCACACTAAATAATGTATTGTGGTTGTCTATTTTTTGGTCTCTGGTCCATATTGTGTAAATTGACTTTCAATTTCATCATCTGCTTGTAAAATTACTGTTTAATGAACACCCAACATTTATATCATCCAATCATAGTTGACTTGGCTCTGTGGCTAAAGAAATTTCACATGGTTTTCCAACTGGGACTCTCTTTATCAAGCAACAAGTCCTGTTACTTCAAAATGAAAATTTAAAAATTCAATGTGTAATTTTTTAAAAATTGAGAAATGGGTATTTCAAAGTAAATCAACTGATAATTTTTCTTGAGCAGTATGCAAATTTTGTGTTTTTCTTTTTTCCTCTATATACCCTTGTAGGATAGGAAGTCAAGATTGTCTACTGTGGCTTCTGATTTGAGGTTCTAACTCAGCAAAAATTACCCACAAAAATTAATTATATGATTCAAAATACCCTCAAAATCACTATTTTCATTTTAATGGTTTGTATGTCATTTTTAAAATAAAAAATGTAAAATTAAATATATTTAATCTAGTTAGCTAATATTTTATTACTTGGTTATTAAGAAAGTAACTTGACTATTTATTATGAGGAGGGATTTACGAAGATTCTGACGAAAAGCAAAAAGACTGTGTTTCATCTTGATTATTTTATATAGCAATGAATTAATATGTGTGGTTAATTTTTGTGATTTAATTAAAGTATAACTTACAAGTGCTGATTCATATTTCTTTGATCCTCAAAAACATTTTAATATAAAAAGCATTGAATTTAATTTTACTTAATAGAAGAAAAAGAAACTGATTTTTTAAAAAAGTAAAGGTATTAGTGAAAATATTAGTTGATCATTACTTTCCAATAAGAAATACTCATCCCTAAAACCTACTAGAGTAAAAAAAGTATTTAAAACACATGAGAAGCTGTTGGCCATACATACAGGTTGGTTGACTTCTTCATTACAATGAACATGTGTGCTGATTCTCTGAGCCTGTCTGGATTTTTAATTTTGGCCTCATTTTTCATTTCACTGCATTCTTCCTGAATGGTCGTCACTAGCCTTTCCTTCTCTCCCCTTTTCTGAACAATTCAGTCCTAAAACTTCAAACAGAATGTAGCCAGGGGACTTCTGTGATATTCTGGTGGACGTAACTCAGAGTAGGGTGTCAACAGCCTGAAGAGGGGTAGGAGGGAGGGGTCTGCATGGGGAGACGGTCTAGAGTGTGCAGCCAGGCTCCATGCAGAGTGAAGACAGTACCCCACAAGGAGTAGCTTCCTGGGTTCATCAGAAACTGATGAGGGTGAGAGGAAGTCCACAGAGACAGGGGCTAGCACAGCCAAGTGGGGTGAGCAGGATAAATGCATAAGGCCCGTCAGGTAAGGGAATCAGAGCCCAAACCAGCTGAGGAGGTCATTTTCAACAGGGGCATCCCAACACAGGGATTCAGCACCCAAACAGGATCAGAAGGACATCTATGTGGGGGCAGGTGGCTAGCCTGGCAAGGGGCAACAGGCCCTGACCAGGTGAGGAGGCCATTCCTTCAGAGTCTGGGAGTTGACCAAACATAGGGAATCAAAACCTGAGAAGGGATAAGAGGAAACCCATGTGGGAGAGGAGCTGGTGTAGAGATGAGATTGGGAAGACAAAGGGATTGAGCATAGCAGTAAATGCCAGGGAGAGCAGAAGCCAACTGTCAAGGAAGAGAGTTATACATGGAGAAAAGGAGAAACTGAAAAATCCAACCCTATGGTGTCAGATTGGAATGAGGGTGTTGGGAAGTATCAGTGTGAATTCATGGATTTTAGCTTCTATAGATAAATACAGAAGTAAATATAGACATAAAGGTGAATGTCTGTGTGCATGTTTGGACATACACAAATTCCCAGCCACAGGGAGAGTCCAGGAGTGGTTGCTGCCCCTATAGTAATGAACACATCCAATGCCCAGAGCTTGGTTTCCAAAAAGAGTTCTTTGAAAGGTACCAGAACATGTTGGAAAAAGAAAAATGGCTGACTCCCAGGGCTGGGACAGAGAACACACAAAATGGACCTGAAAAATCTTTCCATGCACCCAAAGCAAGGAAGCACTCAAAGAATAACAGGGACATGTCAAAAAGAAAGAGAAACCAGCTTGAATTGACTCCCAAAGGACAAATAAGAGATAAATTGAGCATTAAAATAAGTGAGAGTAATTAAGTATAACCCAATGAATGAAATAGAAGAGCATGAATCCATGTGGATATAAATAAATACGAACAAAGTGAAAGTCTGACATATAATGGGATATTTACATCATTTCACAAAATGCTTGTTTATTACAAAGGAGAAAAGAGTAATTTTAAACCCAGAACACACCAAATAATCAAGTGGTCAAAGTGAACATTATGGGTGATGAGATAAAAGGATGCAAGAAGACAAGCATGGATTTAGTGTTATCTCTGCCAGAGAGGCTTAACCTGAATCCAGTGAGGAAGAAACAAAGAGCTAACCCAAATTTTGGGATATCCTATAAAATAATTTGCCTATGATTCTTAAAAATGTCAGGGTCATAAGAGTCAAGAAAACACAAAGAAATTGTTAAAGACGCATGCCAGCTATATGCAATTGGTGATTCAGAACTGAATCTTTTTGCAACAAAGGACATGGCTGAAACACTAGAGAAACCTAACTACAAGAACTGAGTGATGTAGTAGCACATCAGTGCTATTTCCTGATTTTGATGGTTGTGTTGTCTTGATTCTGAAGAATATCCTTGTTTGTAGGAACCCATGTTGAAGTATTTAGGAGTGATGGAACAAAATATTGGCAACTACTTTCAAACAGTCTAGGTGGAAAGTTAATTGTGTTATTTTTTCAATTTTTAGTAATTTTTTTCAAAATTACATGATAGTAGTTATTGCTAGCAAAAATTCTTATCTTAATAACTGGGACAGACCCTGGAGATAATAGGAATTATAGTCCAAACATTCACCTGCACAGTGGCAAATACTCCTAGTAATGAAATTATGCTTGGTCTAGAATCTTTTCTTATTATTTTTTAATTTTTTAGTTGTAGATGGACACAATACCTTTATCTATCTATCTATTTATTCATTTATATGTGGAGCTGAGGATTGAATCCGGTGCTTCATACATGCGAGGCAAGCACTCTGCCACTGAGCCACAATCCCAGCCCATGGAATCTTTTGAAAAGAGAATATTGTCACATTTTTATAAGCACCCCATTCCCAGAAAGAAAACAGTTCACTTTTTTTAAACTTGTAAACTATGATACTTATCTTGGAAACCACTCAGTTCATTTTCTGACTGCCAAGTCTCTTTTTATTTTTATCTTTTTATATTTTTTGTGCATTATAGTTGTACATAATGATGGAATTTTTTGTTACATATTTGTACATGCACACAATATAATACAATTTGGCCAATATTCCCCATGCCAAGTCTTGTCTCTGAGGGAATGTTATGGGCAGAGATAATCCCTCTTGCAACCATGAATTCCTTTGTTTCCCAGGTGGTCTTCCTTTTATCAATGCCTTCTTTCCTGGCTTTCTAATACTCTAGAAATTATCTTTTACTGTAACTAGATGATAGGCAAGGGGAACAGATTCCTAGGTCACAAAACAGTCAACCATATCATGAAAACTACAACAGAGCTCTGATAAATAAGCAAGATCAAATTAAAAAAAAAAATCCAAAGTTTAGAAGCTAAGATCACTTCTAGTAGGATCCTTTAAGAGAAAGACAAATCTGAAGGCAAAATATCTTATAAAACCACAACATACTTTGAAGAACCCTGGACACCACGTTGAAATGATTATGGCTGGTACCCATTATATGCCATAGGAGGTTATTCATTAATTCTGAGTATTAGTCCACTGCTTACTTTTCCATGATCTGAATATTGAAGATCCAGCCCCAATGCCTGCTAGACTTTTGAAAAAGACTCAGGGTTGGACTACTTTAGGAAATGCCCGTCTATGGTGAAGGCTGCCTTTCCCTGCTCTCCTGTGATTGCCCCTCCATCCCCTGGGGCCCCTGCCTGCAAAGTAAGGGCTAGGGGGGGCCTTAGTTTTCAAAACAGTAGATGAGACCACTGCCAAGAAGTGCTTGCTCACCCCTCCTTTAACAGCAGGGGAATCTCCCTTTCCTTTTATAGGTGAAGCTGAAGAAAGATTCATAAATGAAGCCTGATCCTTCTCACCAACCTCAGCCCACACCTCCCAGCAATTGAACTTGAAAAAAACCCTGGTTTGAAAATTACCACAAACTCTGTTGTCATCAAAAAAAAAAAAAAGCCACTTTCTATATTTGAGATCAGAGAACAGAGTGGTAGCACAATTTCCTGGCTGAACACACCAGTCTGATACTTAAAGAGAGCAACTCCTGGCTGTAATAGAGACTGGCTGGACCAGCAAAGATGACAGGTCGAGAGGAATGAGTCTTTGCTCAGGCACCCTCCCAGCACCATGTGAGAAAGCTGCTGACAGGCAACCCGACCCACTGGAGAGAATCACTTCCTCTTTACTGTCCGAGTTGGTCCCAAGTGCCAGGAAGATGGAACCAAGCTTGCTGATGTGGGGATTATTCACATTCATCATGGTACCTGGCAGCATGACAGGTAAGAGGCCATGGGCATCTTGAAAAGGCTAGTAGATGTCACCTCTCCCCAGCCACTGAGCCAGAGGGGACACCAAGTAGAAAGTTATAAGAAGGGAGGGAACCTTGCTTTCTACCTCTTGTCTACAGCCCACTGGGACCTCATTTTACACCTCGGTGGCCCCTGGTTTATAAAGCAAGCTTGGATGCTAAGAGACTCTAATCATTCACAGTTCTTGACAGTTCTGGGAAGAATAGTGATATGATATTTGGATGTTAACAGGATACTGATGAGCAAATTCCTCAGGACATTTTTCTTTATTCTCCAATGAATTTAGTTTCCCACTGTAAGATAATATTAAAAGGCAATGGGCTGGGGTTGTGGCTCAGTGGTAGGGTGCTTGCCTCACATGTCTGAGGCACTGGGTTCAACCCTCAACACCACATTAAAAAAATAGATAGATGAAATAAAGATATTGTGTCCATCTACAACTAAAAAAATAAAAATTTAAAAAAAAGGCTGTTAGACAGAAAAGGGCTAGGGATGTGGCTCAGTGGTTGAGTGCCTTGGGTTCAATCTCCGGTAACCAAAAAAAAAAAAAAATATTAGAGCCAGGCTTGGTGGCACACACGTGTAATAACAGCGGCTCATGAGACTGAGGCAGGAGGATGTTGAGTTCAAAGCCAGCCTCAGCAAAAGCAAGGTGCTAAATAACTCAGTGAGACCCTGTTTCTAAATAAAATACAAAATAGGGCTGGGGTTTTGGCTCAGGGGTTTAGTGCCCCTGAGTTCAATACCCAATACCCCTGACCCCTGCAAAAAAAAAAAAAAAAAAAAAAAAAGCTATTATACCTCTCTTTATCCAGATTAATTTGCCTGAGACACCAGTAACTCATAAATGAAACACTGGAATAATTTAAGAACTCAAAAAAATTTAGCTTCTTTGCTTTTACTGCCTCAGGAAATAATACCTAGGAAACTTCTTTTAAGTGAAATTTTGTAGAAATTTTAGAAAATATAAACATACGTTACTTTTTTCCTATTTGTATATATACGATATATATATATATATGTGTGTGTGTGTGTGTATATGTATATATGCCTGCATATATATGTGAAAATTTTCAACTTCCTCATCCTAGTTTTTTTCAGTTTTTTAGAGAACTAAAAATCCACCAACTTATTGCTCAAACCACCCTTTCTAATTGAATGTGAAAATTCTGATAACATTTTTCCTTGCTAACTCAGAAAGATACATAAGAAAGTATACATAGGGCTGGGGATGTGGCTCAAGCAGTAGCGCGCTCGCCTGGCATGCGTGCGGCCCGGGTTCGATCCTCAGCACCACATACAAAGAAAGATGTTGTATCCGCCGAAAAGTAGAAAATAAATATTAAAAAAAAAATTTAAAAAAAAAAAAAAAGAAAGTATACATATATTTTGAAAGTATATAATTTCGTGTCCTAAACTTCTAGAAATAGAATCCTAAATGATTGCCAGAAGATGTGTTAAGAAGAGAAAAATGATGCTACATACAAGGAGTGTGTTTGCTTGCTTTGGGGAAGTGATTATGTTGTGTTGGGCAACATACTGACCCAGGGTAGGAATTTTCCCACTTTGGAATTAAAGGGTTATGATTTTAACCCTTTTGTGATTCGTCCCTCAAAAGGGTCCTTGCCAGGTCAATCACACTCTGAAAAACAAAATCTTCACAATCAATTGCGCCCTGCCTCTGGGAAACACATTTCAAGTAAACTTGTGTCATTACCAGTCCCTGGTGATTTAGCTGGGGATCAGAATGGTCTTGGTGGCAGAGTATCAGGCTGACTTTTTCATTCACTTGATTCTCCATTAGTCTACCTAATGCCTCTTCTGCCCTTTCCAGTGCTCTAGGCAGAAATTTTACTCATGTAGTGAACTTGACATGGCCCTGATCCTTAGGAGATAAACCTTGTTGGAAGAAGAAAGGCCAAGAGTGGCCGTAGTGAGCCTTAAGGGAATATGGGCCGGAAGTAGGCCTTCATGAAGGTGGAGTGCCAACAGGACCCTGAGGGACTGGTGAACTTCAGTAACAGATTCCATATAGAAAGGACAAGTGAGCAAAGACACAGCAGAGCACTAGGGAACAGCAAGGGGTCCACCATGTTTCCTGAATTGGGCGGGGATGATAGGATGCTGGGAATCAAGACTGAAAAAGTAGGATAGGGTCAAAGGGGTGATCCAAAGCCTTGGAGAGCACATCAAAGCCTTTGAATTTCACTTGGTAAGCAAATTTTTAGAAAAGAAATTATCACTTATAGAGTGACTTCTTCATGCCAGACATTTGCATCTTATTTGTAATCCTTATAACTACTTTGCATTGTGGATGTCATGAACCCATAGATGAAGAAGAACTCAAAACTCAGTATTACACAGGCCATGAGAAGGCCAGGGCCCAAACCCAGCCTCCCGGCTTGTGCTCTTTTGGTTCACTGCAAACAGGGTCAGAAATGACTCTGGCATAGATTGGAGGAAGATCAGGTACAGGGAGAAGGGACACGGGTCTCTTCAAAATAGTCCAACCAAGAGGCTAATGAGAACCCATGATAAAAGAATTAAATGAATTGAGATTTTGGAATCAAGAAACAGCACAGGAACCACTCCAGAGAAAGAAAGAATCTCATCTCAAACGTTTTCCTCCCAGAGGAACTCGGTCTTAGGATAAGGAAGTCTTTTTTATTCCCCAGGAGTCAGAGTTCTCTAACGAAATCAGTCTGTCAACAGATGCAATTTCTAGCTGATTCATAAGGCAGATTTTCATTCTGAAAATTTCCAAACCACCATTTAAAATTGTGATGAGGTATAGGGGATGTATTAGTCAACTTAGGTGTTTTTAATCTCTATATTACTGGGTCCTGGGATGTGGTTAAAAAGAGAATTCTCCTGATGTTGTCAACACAGCACGTTATTGAAGCTACCTTTCTCAGAATTGTGGAAATTCTGAGGGCTTATGTGTCCCTTGATCATCTTTTTTTCATTCTAGGAATTCTGTGATCAAATCTTCATCCCCTAGACAAAAAAAAAAGAGTGCGGGAATCTATCAAGGTAATATATTAGTCTGATTCCCTTTCTTGTAAAGACTGCTGCCCACGCTAGAATTTCCTACCTTCGACTTGGTCATTAAAACACAAGATGTTTAAGCCTTCACATTTAATCCTTCCATTTCTCTGGATCCCAAAGTATTATTGTGACTGTTACCTTGTTCATCTTCAAAAGATCTTAGAGAGGTAGGCCTTTGCTAAGCATTTTGGAACTAACTCATAAAAATAGCCAGTAACTTTCTTTAAAAGAGTGGGTCTTAAACAGGCAGTTTGACATATCACCTATGCATATGCTCTATTTTAGCTCTGAGAATCGAAAAGAATTCACTTTACAATTCTGTGCAAAACAATTGACTCCCCTGGCGTGTCCAGAGAGTTGCTTATGAAGAATAGCTAGTACATTCTACCAATCCATTCCACTGGTCTCAAACATGAAATTTTTTCAAGTTTTTCTTTTCTCTCTGGCTAGAGATAGGGTATTATGGATACTTCCGAGCAATCTCTTGTGGAAACCATTCCCATGATAGCAACAGGCACCATTAAAGCAGGCTAGCCCTCAGTACACTGGCCATTCAAGTTAATTTCCTGCTCCCTCATGCCCAAGCATGAGTAGAAACCTTACAAATAAACAGAGAATTCCTTTACAAAATAGGAGTGGTCACCTGAGATCAGCAGGGAATAGAATTAGGAGGAAAGCAAATTTTGTAGGAAATAGAAAGTAGAGTAAGGCGCCTCCCAGAGACATTGTTGGAGGACCCAAGACATGTGAAAGTCATGTCTTTTGACAAATTTCTCCCCATAAAAGGAAAAGGTTGACCAATGAAACCTTTTTGAGAAACTCCCTTTCAGTTCCATCACTCTATCAAGAATTCGGAAAGGAAAAAGAAGCTCTGTTTAAAAGGCATTTTCAAATGGGGGTACTTTTGGAAATGAAAAAAAAATTTTCCCAAGCAAAAACATACCCAGCAGGGTCAGGCTTGAGAGATCTTCAAGTGTCAACAGACTAAAGCCTGGTATCTTCTTGTAGGTTATTTCCAGCTCTTCAGAGGCACTGCCCTGCCTGGCAGCATGACCCACTGCTTCCGTATCCCTGCAGTGTAGGTGTTAAGGCAAAACCACTAACTATTGATGAGGTCTTTGGCTGTTGGCTCTTTAAGGGAATTTTTGCCCTTAATCAATGCCCTTGTTTCTCCTGGGAGAGGTTTTGCATAGGTGAAAACCTGTCCCTCCTCTCTTTATATGTAGACACTCACTGTAAAAAAGAAGGGAGACTTTAATTCAATGAACGGCTTCAAAAACCTACAAGCCCTTCATGCCTAAGTGTGTTCAAGTAAAGCTTACACTAGAATCCCGCCTCTTAAATTCTAGCCCAATATCCCCTGCACATTAATTACCAATGATATCCCCTTGTCTATGCATTAGCGCTCTAGAATTACAGGGATGAAAAGGTTGCAATCCTTGTCTTCAAACTGCTTATCATTTAACCATGGAGATGTCTCATCTGCTGAGCAATCCTCATCTGGAAGACTACCAAGGGAAGGCTAGTAGTATTTGCCAGTGAGTCCACATCTCACCACCAAATCCCAGAACTTACTTGTTTTCAAGTAAGTCACTCACTGTTTTCCCCCAAATTCTCTGGGAATTTTACCCATGTTCTACTCTAACATTACTCAGATAGTTTTTTTGTCTATTTTGGCTGATTTTAAGGTTACTCCGGAATTTGTCTGCATTAATTAGAGAACACAAGTCCCAATGGGAAATGTCTTTGGGACAATGGTTCCAGGCACCTGCTACACATCTGGGATGTTCTAAAAAGTGATGTCCATGATTGATTAAGAGTGGAAAAGTCAGACTCTCAATCTCTCTGGGGAGAACAAGATGTAACAATAACATTTGTTTCAACTTCCTTAAATGATTTAAGATGCAGTTAAAATTGAAACT